TCAATTCCTGGTGCCTTGTTCTTTGCCAATTCCTTCAATGCACCTTGGACTTCCTCCCTCAGTATCATTGGCTCTTGATCATATGCTACCTCTTGGAACAGTTGAACATTAACCATTTCCTTTTGGTACAGTGACTCTGTATTTCTTAAATCTTCTCTTGATGCTTTCTGCATTATTCAATAATTTGCCCAGTGAATCTTTCAATATTAAAAGTCGAAGTTTGAATTTTTTCTTCATTTCCCTCAGCTTGAGAAATGCTGAGTGTGTTCTTCTTTTTTGGTTTTCTGATTTCAGATATTTGTACATTTTGTTGTAATATTTGGCTTTATCTTCTCAAGATGATCTTTGAAATTTTCTGTTCAGCTCTTGGACCTCCTCATTTCTTCCATTTCCTTTTGCATCTATATGCTGGACAGCAAGTTCCAGTGTCTCTTCTGACATCCATTTGGACCTTTTCCTTCTTTCTTGTCTTCTCAATGACATTTTGCTTTCTTCATGTATGATGTTCTTGATGTTGTCCCACAACACTTCTGCTCTCCGGTCTTTAGTGTTTAATGTATCAAATCTGTTCTTCAGATGATCTCTCAATTCAGGTGGGATATATTCAAGGTCATAGTTTGGCTCTCATGGACTTGTTTTCATTTTCTTCAGCTTCAGTTTGAATTTGCATATGAGTAATTGATGATTTGTTCCACAGTCTGCCCCTGGTCTTGTTTTCACGGATGATATGGAGCTTTTTCATCGTCTCTTTCCACAGATGTAGTCAATTTGATTTCTATGTATCCCATCTGGTAAGGTCCATTTGTATTGTCGTCTCTTATGCTGTCTAAAGAAGGTATTTGAAATGAACAAATCACTGTTTTTGCAGATTTCTATGATGCGTTCTTCAGCATCATTTGTATCATCAAGGCCATATTTTCCAACCACTGATCCTTCCTCTTTGCTCCCAATCTCTGCATTCCAATCATCAGTAATGATCAATACATCTTGAATGCATGGAATTCACAAAATGTGGACTTCTTAACAATCATCATTGCCTTGTCTTTTATACCTGCTTATTGTCATTATGAGGAGCTCTGGGAGTGTACTGGTTAGAATCGGGTTGTGAACCTTAAGCACAGCAGTTCGAAGCTATCAGCTGTTCCACTGGAGAAAGATGAGGCTGTCTACTTTTGTAAAGATTTATAGCCTTGGAAACCCTGTACAGGGTCGCTATGACTTGGAATAGACCCCACGGCACATCATGACAATGACTGTCATTATATTTATACTGAACAAAGAAACAAAATATTTGAACATGGGCCTATTATTTGAACAAAAGGTTAAATAAAAAAACCAAAACCACTGCGATCTAGTTGATTCTGACTTAGGGACCTTATACAGCAGAGTGAAACTGCCACATAGGGTTTCCAAGCCCGCTTATCTTTAAAGAATCAGACAGCTAAATATTTCACCTGTGGAGTAGCTAGTGGGTTTGAGCCACTGACCATTCATTTTGAAGCTGAGTGTTTAACTATTGTGCCACCAGCAATCTTAATACATCTAAATGCTCTTAACAGTTGAATTGAAGTGAAAAATCATAATGGATACTTCTAATAACTAACAAAAAGCCCTAAACCATTGTTACTGAGTTGAGTCTGACTAATGACAGCCTTATAGATAAGATAGACACTACATGATTGCATTTCCAAGGCTGTCATATTTACAGAAACAGACTGCCATCTTTTCTTCCCATGGAACTACTAATGGGTTGAAATCACCAACCTTTCAGTTAGCAACCAAGAGCTTAACCATTTTACCACAAGGGATCCTTCTAAAACAGAGGTGGTAGTAGTGTTCCATTGAGTCAGCTCTGACTCATGGTGACACTGTATAGGGTTTATGAGGCTGTGAATATTTACAGGAACAGAAAATCATCTTTCTCCCATGGAGCACATGGAAGATTTGAACTATTGAACTTATGGTTAGTAGTCCAACTTGTAATCCACTATACTACCAGGGTAGCTTATGTAATGGTCCAAGAGCAGTAAAATATGGAATTATAAAAATAATGTGCGTAGATGGGAGGCAGTGGTAGACAAAATTTTACATGTATTTGTATCAGTACACAAAAGTTGAATTAAAAAAGTTATTTTTCACTAAATATTCTTTAAGTGATTAAATAAGAGGAACAATGGTTGAATATGAAAAAATTTATTATAGAGCAGTAAATCCATATGACCTAATCTTACAGCATTCAGTACCTATATAGTTTTGTGGAATTCACAACACAAATGTCAGTGATAAAGTATCATTGCATTAATGAAATTGAATTCCTTATGAAAATTGTTCACATATAAGTCAGATAATGGAGTTCACATGGAAATTCAGAGCACCTAACAGAAATGAAAAGATGTAATTTCAAAATTCAGGAAAGTTGAACAAACCAAAAACCAAAACTATCTTACTTATACTAAGAGATTTCACATGCTCTATTTGAAATGTTTAAAAACAAATTTAACTATATTAAATGTAAAATATGTTGTACCATATGGTACAGTGAAGGCCTTAAGGAAAAAAAAAATGCTGGAATTTATTTGTCAGGGTGCTATCTGATATATTTATTTATTTTGCTTTCTGAAATTTAAACCCCACATAAATGGCAATTTTGGCTTCTTCAAGGGAATCAAATGTATTGTGTTTCAATGTTATTTGAGTTTGGGGAACAAAAAGAAACCTGAAGGTACAAGATAATTGCTTTAGGGAGGGTGAAGAAAGGTTTCATAATGAAGTCCTTGTAGGACATCCCTTGCTACCCTCAAACAATCAGCAGGTAGTTTTGCTGTTTTTTAGAAAGAACATACAAACAAAAAACCCCCAGCACAACTTTCCTCGACTTTTTCTCACCATCTTTAAAAAAAATGTAATAATACATTCCCATAGTCATCCTCTGACCTTTAAGTTAATCTATCAAGATTGTCCCTTTGGAGTTTCCCAAAGCAGTCAACATAACCTTCTAAGATTACTTCTTTACTATGAAATGTCTTTGAGGTCGTCCTAACCTTCCTTAAAATGATTGATGCGTCTAAAAATAATTATTTTGTTTTGTTGTATTTTTGTGTGATGGCATTCCTATAATCTTGTTGCAAAGCTTCAATGATTTGGGAAGAAAATGTTCATTTGAGCTTTGTTAAAAATGTGATATTATTCCGTTCCTCAAAATTGATTTTTTTCATGGCATAAAGTGTATCCTTTTTTTGTGTGTTTGTGAAGGTACCCTAAGAATTATATTGCTGAAAGAACTTGTCTCCTACCATCCAGTGATCCTAAAGACACGTTTAAACATGTTTTGTTTGTTTGTTTGTTTATATAAACCCATCCGTGTATGAACTGGAGCCCTAGTAACAATACTTCATGAGTTACCCTTATATTAGAGTAAATGCTAAGTAAATATTTTGAGTATGCTTCACACTTTGATGCTGAAGTCATATTGTAAATCTCTGACTTCTTATTCTTATGGACATTCAATCTATGGTCTCTTATTCTTGACAAATCTTGGTCTCAACAACAAATTCATTGGGGAAGTGTCTAATCTTCCAGCATTTATCAATGGCACGTTTGTTGAAACCTATGAGGAAATGCACAAAAAAGTTACCTTTGAGTTATTTTTATAAATAAAAAGAGACCTGGATTTGCTCCCCACCTTTTCCCACACTCTATTCTACTGTCCCAATAGTAAAGAGTGAACTAAGAAACAAATTGCCTACCTAACAAGAGGTCTCTACGACAAAGGCGGAAGGCTTTGCGGTTGTTGCAAAGTTGGTAAATAAATATACCAAGATTACTAACATCACGAATCTCCTCCACAGCAACAAGGTCTTCACGAATCACAAAAGTTTGAGGCAAGTATCTGTCATTCTAAAAAAAAATTTTTTAAATGATTTTAATGAGAAATTGAGAAATTCTAAAAGACACTGTTTAAATCTTTACCTGTAGCAGATAGTGTTTTCCTTTTTTTAATATTTTGGAAATTATTTCAATTAAGTGGACTTTTGTTTTTCTCACATTACTCTTTTTTTTTTTAAGTGAAGTAACAAAATCATTTGGAAATGGTTATAGTAAAATTTAACCTTCAAAGTACATACCGCTAGTTTTCCAAAGAGCTCCACCAAATTCTTTGGAGGCATAACAACGGATGTATTGAGAGGTATCAGATAGCAGTTACCCAGCAGTAAGTCCAGGTAAGCAGTCATACCCTAATGGGGAGGAAAAAAGTATTAATTATGACATAGATGGCATTAACATTACATATTTTCCAACTGCCATTACCATAAGAACTCTAAGAGCTACATTCTCGCAAATTCAAATAATGTGAACATAATAGCAACACAATGGTAAGTGTTTGCTTCAAAAGTGATACATTCATACTTGTCATTGTTGTGGTTAAGTGTCATCAAGTCAGTTCAGACTCACAATGACCCTGTATAGGGTTTCCTAGGAGTAGTTGGTGGGTTTGAACCTCTGACCTCTAGGTTAGTACTCCACTGCTTATCTTACAGTACCACATCAGGACTCCACATTTATGCAAGGACCTGCGAATGAACTATGAAAAAGAGAACTTTCTAAAATACCTATAAGAATAAGGAACTCACTTTTTCAAAGTCATGAATAATCGCTGCAGGGTCACTATCAGAAAAACTGGGAACGGGCACGTCAATGATTGCAATGTTGTCATCCTCACGAATGTCTGCTTCCTCAGTCACAGGCATGAAGTAAGGTTCTCCTCCAGAGAGGATATTTGTGGGGTCTTCAGAATCATAGAAGCTCATTTCTCCATGGTAAATGGTACTCTGAAGGGGAGAAATAAATCCTTCCAACAGTCACTACTATGACATTTGAACTGTTTCTTTACATTTTTTATTAATCTATGTCCTGTTTACCTAGCTTGCTGATTACATTTAGCACCATGCAGATAAATCTATCTTATGAACTAAAAAGTAATGTCAAAACTTTCCTTAAATCTTTGTTTCTCTGCTGATCATGCTTATTTTCAGTTGCTACTAAATATACAGCAATTAGTAAGTAATCCAAATTATATGAAGTTTAATTATTTTTACCTTGGGCATAAAGTACTTGTAAATGCAGGCTCCACCAACAATAAGTCCTGCCAAGATGAATGAAAGGCCTAAGAGAGTAAGCATACATCTCCCAGAGGAGCTCTCCTTTTCCTTGGTGGCAACTTGGAGCTCCTATTTATTAAAAAGCAAAACCAAAAACAAAACCAGATTGTACTTTTAGACACACAGTTACTTTTGTGTAAAAATTATCTCATTTAAAATGCAAGTTACTTTTAAAAAATGCAAAATCATTCAGTTCTTAAAATCATTTCAAGATTCCAATTGCTATAGGTATAGAAATTCTCTGGTAGCGTAGTGGTTACGAATCGGGCTGCGAACCTTTAGGTCAGCGGTTTGAAACTACCAGCTGCTCCGCGGTAGAAAAATGAGGCTTTCTACTCCGGTAAAGATTTACAGCCTCGGAAACCCTGTACAGGGTCGCTATGGGTCGGAACCGACTCGACGGCACTTAATAACAACAACAACAACATAGAAACTTCTAATGAGATTATCCTCCTCCCTTCTGGAATTCTAAAACCCAAATACACATATGAAGTTATTTCAAGATACATATTTCAGAAATCAAGTAAAAAAAAAAAAAACCTTCATTCAATACAATAATTTTCAATGTTTAAATAAATGGGAATAGGTGCCTTCTCAGCTTATAAAGTGATAGGATAATTAACTTTTTAGACTACAGTTGTTTCCTTACTTTTATTTATTATTATTATTTTGTAAAATCAACTAATATCCCAATTTAAAGGAAATGTGGAATAATTTTATTTGTAATTTATTAAAAAATATATTTGTAGAAAACTAGGTTTGAAAGAACAGAGTTATAAGGGAAAGCATAGTTCATTTTCCTATTTTAGGAAGAAAAGACAGAGATATATTCCCTAATGCTACTAATTGTAATGGTAAGCATGAGACTTCATATTATTAGTTGCTGTTGAGTTGATTATGATTCATGGACCTCATGTACAAAAAATAGAACTGGTCCATAGAGTTATAAAGACTGAATTTTTGTCAACAGATCACCAGGCTTGCCTTATGAGTTATCTCTGGATAGATTTGGACACCAACCTTTCAGCTGATTGTTGAATATTGAACCACCTGTGCCACTGAAGAACTTCGTGAGACTTCTTAATGTCATTCAATGTTCTGCAGCAGTATATTGCATGAATGAAATAATGCTTTCCAAATTCTGGACAAAATGTTGGACTTTAAAGTATGTTGTTATTGTCAGGTGCCATCAAGTCGGAACCGACTCATAGCGACCCCATGCACAGCAGAACGAAGCAATGTCTGATCCTGGGCCAACCTCACAACCGCTGCCACACTTGAGTCCATCAATGATGCCACCTGGCCAATACATCTCGTTAGGGGTCTTCCCCTTTTTCTCTGACCCTCCACCTTACCCAGCATGACATCCTTCTCCAGCGACTGTTCCCTCCGGACAATATGTCCAAAGTATGAGAGACGAAGCTTAGCCATCTTGGCCTCCAAGGAGCACTCTGGCTGCACTTCTTCCAAAACATAGCACTGGCAATTCCTAGTACAAAAACTTCCTAAGTAGCAGTTAAAAATTCTATTAAATCAGTATTTTGCTTAGGAATTTGAACAAGAAAGATTCCAAACAAACAAGTACCTGATTAACTCTGCACCCACCCCAATCTCATTCTTGTTTCACAAAATGCTCAAGGATAGAATAAATGAAATCAGCAAACTTTAAGACCCTGGTAATCACAGGGTAAATCATTCAATTTTGTTTCAAGAAGACCATGAAAACTTTCCCAAAACAACTACTATTCTGTGTATGTAATCTAGCCCAGTAAATTAATTTGCTGAAAATAAATTAATGTTTTGAAGTTAAGGCAAGAGAAGAAAGCAAAGGCAGGCATTTGATATACATGTATGTCTGAGCTGTGGTTTGGTTTAATTGTTAAGTGACTGACTGAGCTGAGGATATTCCTGAGGGTGTGCTCAATAGCATAACCAAGTGTGGGTCCTGGAGGACAGGAAGGAGGCATGCCACAATGTCCAGTGAACTTTGGGTGGGAATGCAGCACCAGGACAGCACCACGACCTTAGCTTTCTCAGGCATCATTAGAAAAGTTGTTGTTGTTGTTAAGTGCCATCAAGTCAGTTCCAACCCATAGTGACCCTGTCTAGGGTTTCCAAGGAGCAGCTGGTGAGCTTGAACCACCCACCACCTTGCAATTCAGACAACTTTGCAATCTGGCGCATTAACCCACAGTAGGACTCTGTCATTAGAAAACTAGTATCAACAAATTACCAGACATTTAGCAGTGTAGAGCATCCTGTCACTTAATTACTATTGTTACTATCTATTAAATAAAGTCTCCCTCCACTTTCATATTGAAATGAATCAAGATATTCTTGTGTGGGGCAGAGGATGAAGAAGGGGAATTTAGAAAAGGAAGGTCCTAACTTGCCATTGTGGTGGTGTGATAAAAATGTAATACTTGCTTCCAAGAGTGTCTGAAAATTTTGACCAAGCAAAGTAACCTTGATAGTTGTCTTGAAAGGCATAGAGAAGATTTAAATTGTATTATCATACACTTCCAGTGTCTTGGATATGAATATGTTTTCTTTACAAATAACAGATTCTTCTTTAAATTTTAAAAACATTTGGAATTCATGTAGCTTAAAATTAATTTAGCGCAAACATTCTATTAAGACTATATAAATCTTAAAGCTATTTTTGTCCAAATAATTTTTATAATTTTAAAATTATTTTATACAAAAATGCTATTTAAGATTAACACTATGAAATAACTAAAAAACAGGGCACTCGAGATGGAGGCTTACAAATTATATTTTATAAGACTGACCTGACTCCCATAAATATGAAGTGATTTGCTTATAATGACTTCATTTGATATTTTTAGAAGAATCAATGTATTTTTTTCTCTCATTATTGAGCCATGAGAAGATCAATTTTCACTGTAATTTCATCTCTCCTTCCATTAATCATGCAGTTTCTTATTAAGCAAGATCTAATTATTAGAGCTTTAGTTTCATAAAATATATCTACATACAAGGATCAAGAATTTTTATTTGTAAATAAATTTGTTCGAATTCAGGATGCTGATGGCCATTAATAGTTAAATTCTATTTAAACTGAATTTTAAAGACATTCTACACAACCTGTGATTTTTAGTCTGTTGTACTCAATCTCTGATGAACATCACAATATAATTTCTCAATCAGGAATTATTAAATCAGTGTCCTGTTCAGTCATGATCTCTTGGGAGCTTCTCCAACATCTGACAAAGAAATACAATCATAATGCAAATGTCACTTTTGTTTGTTCCTCATCACACCACATACCCGGCAGAAATACTGCTTGCATATTAATTTATCCAAATATAAGTCATGACATTCTTTGTGGTAAGAGAAAAACAGAAAACTCTACATTGTGGATATATTTTAACTGCTGTTGTTATAAGGTGCCATCGGGTCATTTCCGAGACCCGATTAATAGTGACCCTGTTTAGGGTTTACAGGAGAAGAAAGCCCCATCTTTCTCTTATGGAGAGGCTGGTGGATTTGAACTGCCAACCATTTGGTTAACAGTCCAGTGCTCATCCTGTAGTGCCACTAGTGTTTGTTTTATTTATTTTATTTTAACTACCGGCATCGAATTGTTGTTAAGTGCTTCTGAGTCCCTTCCTACGCTTAGTGACCATGTCATTGGTTTCTGAGGAGAGCCTGGTGGGTTTGAACTGCCAGTTTTGTGATTCAAACTAACCTTTTGGTCCAGCTCACACCAGAACTCTAACTGTAGTTCTTAAGTGCCGTCGGGTCGATTCCAACCCATAGCAACCCTGTATAGGGTTCCCAAGGAGCAGCTGGTGAGCTTGAACCACTGACCTTGCAGTTCAAACAACTTTGCAGTCTGACGCATTAGCCCACAGCTACACAGCGGAACTCTAGGATTAGACCTCCCGAGAAACTGACCATATATCCCTTACAACTTTAAGTGTGAAGACAATTGCACATTTGACATGTCACATAATTAAAAGCTCAAAAATGGAAGGAAGCCTACGTTTGAGTCTGAAATATATAATACAGAACAGCTAATATGATTGCTATTCAGTGATAAAAATTCGACATAAACACATTTAGCATTTCAAATTATACACACAGTCACTTTTACTACACAGATTCACATTTCACTCAAATCACTTTCCAAATCTCCACTTCTGAACACAAAACAAGTTAGGACAGATTTGCAAGTTCCAACACCATTAATTTTGGAAAACATGAGAAAAATATGACTGTGTTTTAAATTTGAGATTTTGCTGGGGAAAATAGAAGCATTTAAAAACACTGAAAATATTATAGGTGTTAAAATGAAATATATATTGGACTGAGTAAATAATGGCTATTTTAGGAGAAACTCCCTACGATTCTGGTAAAGCTAGTAGTTTAAACTAGTCTGCTTCACATTTCTATATGGGGGAGGGGAGTATTGCTCACACAGAAATAAATTTTAAAAACAAAAAGAAAAATATTCACTGAGTTTCTTTCTACAGAAGATTAGTGTTTTCTTTAGGAAACATCACTCTGAAAACATACAAGACTCCTGACTTATTTAAGACTAGCCTCAACAAGGTTGACAGCTCAACTTAACCTTTGACCAGGGAGAAACTGAAACAAATACTGCCTCTAGTCAACATTGCCCTTTGCGCCACCTCCCCATCCAGTCTGAGCCCACACAAAGTTCTTACATTCTAGAAAATGAAGTCATCGAATTTCTTCCACAGGAAAAAAAAAAAAAAAAGACTAGTTACATTGCCTGCTCTTGTCTTCCCAGGCTTTTGCTCCACCTCTCTGGAGACTGCACGCTGCTTGAGTTTGGAACAGGGCAGAATATCCTTCATTGGTACCCAGTCCCCAATGCATTCCACAATAGAAGACCTCAGGTCCCAGAAGTTCCCCTCAAACGGCCTCACAATTGTGGGCGTGGGTTAGAGCAGACAAGAGTGTGGGCCAACACGCGGGGATATAGTGGGGCGCTAGGCAAGAAGGTAACATGATGAGACAGAACAAGGGCTACTGGCAAAATTCAACAAAGCAGAAATGTAGAGCAGCCCGCCAGGCACCAAAGGACTGCACAAAAACCTCCATTTTTTTCTTTGCCACCTTTCTACTTTTCCCAACCCCCAACCTGGCAAGCAGCCAGGGAAGGAGTTGGGCCCAATACCTTGCTGGTCAGGATCTGAGCTCGAACAGTGTGGCTCACAAGGGCTTCCACATCTTGTCGTGCTTCCTCTTTTTGTAAGGCGGTGGGAGTGTTGAAGGCTATTTTCACCATGGTAAAGCTTCGGACTGTGTGGTAAAGCGCTTCTGGAATCTGCTTCCAAGTCTGCAACTTAAAAGAGGGGGAAAAAAATGAGCTTTCCTTGGCAGCACCTCTGCTGTCTGCTTTGTGTTGCTGCAAGCCCTGATCTGGGAATACTTATGGAGCAATCCCAAAGTGGGTGGGAGATCCGGGGCGGACCCAGGGAAGGGCCTAGGGAGGAGCTGAATGGGGCCCAAGTGCTAACAGGAGGGGGTTGATAGGGGAGGAAGAACAGGAGAGTTGGAGTCCGTAATCTAATCAGGCTTCACATGCTTCTCCTGCACCCCAGGAGTTCTCCCTCTCACCCTGCGCCTTCAGATAAGAGCAAGGTAGGAAGCCTGCCTTGTTTTTGTGCTTTTGTGAAAGTTATAATAGTCCGTGACCCTGACAAAGTTTTCCATAACTTGTGCCTGCCCTGCACCCTTCCTTCCCCTCTCCTCAAGTTTCCTTACTTCGCAGGCATCCAGGCCCCAAAAGCAGGGTTCTGCACCTTTATAATAATACTTATCGTTTAAAGAACACCTTTAAAATCTTTTTATAGTTATTTGGTTCATTCTCTTAACGATTTTTTTTCTCTTTCTTTCGTGTGTGTGTGTGTGTTTATGCTGGTAATTTCTCAAAACTAAATTTCTTGGCGTTGTTTAGATTAGAAAAGTGAGGATCCTCCTCCTATATCTCCATTTTATAGATAAGACACACAGGAGGAGGAAAGCTCATCTTGAGTCCCTGAAGTAAACCAGATCTTTTCATTCTTTGAGGTGAAGAAAACAGTATGTTTTTAGCGACAGTGTCTTTTTCTCTTCATCCACCAGCTGTGAAGTCTTCAGGTAGAAAAAGCAGAGATATAAGCATACCTATGTGTTTAGGAAGGTGTCGGTGGGTTTGAGCATACAAAATTAAGCTATATGGGAACCCAATACTAGTAGGAAATACAGAAACCCAAAGGGGCTAAATTAGAAATCATGATTGATTTCATGTGGGCAGGCAGTGTAATCAGGATGCTTCCTCACACACAGTTAAGTCCTCCCAGGTTGGTGACACTGATAAAGAACTGCTGGGGAGAGTTGTGGTTGGGATTGGCTAGTTATGCAGCATTTATAAATAGTCCTGCTGAGGAAGACAGTAGAGGGGTCTGTTGTGTGTTGTGTCATGTCAATAACATTAAAGAAAAAAAAAAAGTCTGTGTTAAAGAATCCGCCATCTACCCAGCTATTTACTAAAGGGATTGAATACATTAAGAGCCACCACTGTTTCATCCAAGAAATTTCAGTTTGAATTTTTTCCTATGTGGTTTCCTTGACTATGGAAACTTTGTGAAAACAGCCTTCATTTTTTGGATACACCACAGAGGTGAAGGTGGATGGAGATGAACAGTGGGGAGCTTGTGCTTTATACAGAACCAGGGCCTTAAAAATGAGAACAGTTGAGTCAGCTTAGAAATGTTGACATACTATGTTCTTTCACTTATTATTTCTCAAGTCTGTCCATTATATTTTAATGTTTTTCAGGCAATTTTAGTATAGGCTGAAGAAAGCTAAACTTCTTAGTATGTTTTTGTTTATAGTTACCTTCTATCATCACCTTTGTAACAACTCAGCCTAGATTCCGTTAGTTCAAGTGCAAGGAACTGTGTGGGATGATAACAATCAGGGCTAAGTAAAAAGTATTGCTACTAGGGTTCCAATTAATACATGCATGATTTTATTTGAAACAGAATGGTTTAGACATGTTTCTGTGTTCAGTGGATAACTTCAGACAAGTTCTCTCAGTAATATTACAACTTGTCTCAGTCTCATTAGGGTGCCTTCAACACTGCAAATATCAGCTAGCTCAAAGACCTGAACTTTATATCAGTCATTTAAGTGAGATCAAAGTTAATAAAGATGATTTTTTTTCATTACTTCAACCTTTATTTCTTTTTCACTTCCTGACTCTCATTGTGAATTGGGTAAATGTTTACCAAGCAGATAATCAGTTCTACATTCAAGAACTTGCATACTATGTTTCATTTCAATTATTGTAATCTCCTCAATGTAACATAACTTATCACATTTCTTCTTTGTGATTCTTGTTCCTATTCCTTCTTTTCCAATTCGTTGTAATTTTGTCCTTATGTAAATGCTGCCCTTTTGATTTTGAATGGCTTACCATGCTATGATGTGCATACCTCAGTGTTATTGTTGCCACCCCACCACCATATACATATCTACTCTTTTTCTGAAAATTGAGCCATTATTGTGAGTTCATATTCCAAACTGAAGGGTGGCCAAAGGCCATAGTTTCTGGTTCCTCCAGTCCCTTTCTGATGAGTGAGTCTTCCCTTCTTTATAATTTTATTTTCCACCACATTTACTCTCACTCTATCCTAGACTTTTTAATGTGATCCTTTTCAGAGCATTTGGTAGCTGTAACCAGAAATCATCTAGCTCTTCTTATCTCACGATTATGGAAATTTATGCTCACATGTTCCATTAGTCCATTGTACGAATTGTTTTTAAGAATCTTCAATTTTCAAAGCTCTTCTTTACTCTCCACAGAGAAAGGCCAATATTTTCGCCTTAGATGGCTGCTCAATAACTTGCAAGATCCCAGTTACTACTCAACAAAGTAAGATATAGAACATTGTCTTTGTGAACTATGTGATGCTAATTGACCATGATGTCCCCCTAGGCTATGATTCTAAGCCCCCAACCAAAGCAAGTTAAACCCTCACGGTGTTTGATAATGTTTACAAAGCTGTTATAATTTAGCCCCTTGTATGGTGCTGTAAGCTAATGCATCAAACTGCAAAGTCATTTGAACTGCAAGTTCGGTGGTTCAAGCTCACCAGCTGCTCCTTGGAAATCCTATACAGGGTCGCTATGGGTCGGAATCGACTCAATGACACTTAACAACAACAACAACAACATGTTCCACCACATTTGTGGATTTTTTAACAAAGATTGTTCTTGTTGGTAAGCTGTTGTTAAGTGCCACCTAGTTGTTTATGACTCATAACGACCCTGTATAGGGTTACTAATGATCAGTTGGTGGGTTGGAACCTCTGGGCCTTTGGTTAACAAGCCAATGCTTACCTTATAGTGTACCAGTACTCTCCTATGCATACATACCCTCTATCAAGCCTTCATATGTTTGTGGGTATACTCCCACTATCCCTCCCACACCTCTTCTGCCTGCATAGCTATTCAGGTATACCCCCATAGATTTTTGTTTTTAGGACTGTTTATATAATATTATTAACTTTTATTCTCTTTAATTATTGTTTTCTTCCTTGTATCTTCTCATGCTTCTATTATTCTTCTGCCAACATCCCTCTTATTGTATGCTGTTTGTCTAGTCACCCAAAATTGTATTTTGATTTTATGGACTAGCTATTGACCCTACTCCACCATTCATCTGTCAGTTTGTCATACTATGGTGGCTTGTGAGTTGTGATTCTGGAAGCTATGCCATGGATATTTTAAATACCAGAAGGTTCACCCAGGTGGACACGTTTCAGATGAGCTTCCAGACAAAGACAGACTAGGAAGAAGGAGTAACAAACTATTTCCAAATATTTAGTCACTGAAAACCTTATGAAAAACAGAGAAACACTGCTATATATAGTGCCAGAAAATGAGCCCCTCAGGTTGGAATGCATTCAAAATGTGACTGGAGAAAAGCTGCCTCCTCAAAGTATACTTGACTGTGATGACACAAATGGAGTAAAGCCTGGGGGAGTAAAGCCCATGGGACCTTCATTTGCTGATGGAACACAACACAAAATTATGAGAAAAAGCTATGAACATCAATTACAATTCAGAACATGGAATGTGCAAACTATGAATCTAGGAAAACTAGAAAATGTCAAAACCTAGATGGAACACATAAACATTGATATCTTAGGTATTAGTGATCTAAAATGGACTGGTATTGGCCATTTTGAATCTGACAACCACATGGTTTACTATTCCTGGAATGACAAATTGAAGAGGAATAGTGTTGTATTCATTGTCAAAAACAACATATCCAGATCAGTCTTGAGATACAACGCTGTCTGTGATAGGATAATATCCATTGACTACAGGGAAGAACAGTTAATACCACCATTATTCAAATTTATGCATCAACCACTGAAGCTAGTGAGGATGAAATAGAAGAATTCTACCAATTTCTTCAATCTGAAATTGATCAAACATGCAATCATAATGTATTGATCGTTACTGGTGATTGGAATATAAAGGATGGGAACAAAGAAGAAGGATCAGTAGTTGGAAAATATGGCCTTGGTGATAGAAATGTACTGCAGATCACATGATACAATTCTGCAAAATCAATGATTTGTTCATTTCAAATACCTTCTTAAAATAGCATAACAGACAATTATACACATGGGCTTCACCAGCTGGAATACAAAGAAATCAATTTGACTACATGACTACATGTGCGGAAAAAGATGATGAAAAAGCTCTATATCATCAGTCAATACAAGGTCAGGGGCAGACTGTGGAACAGACCATCAGTTACTCATATGCAAATTCAAACTGAAGCTGAAGAAAATGAA